ATAACGTAGGCAATAAAATCAGCTTCTAATTACTGCTCTGTGCTGCTGTCATTCAATACGGTACAGATAAAAAAATACTCATGATATTTTTACTTTTGTTTCTTAGCACCTCCACAGCCCCCATAACCTGAAACAGCACTTTACAGATGTGGACCCAGTGAAAGTTAAGTAGAAATTCAGAGAAAAGACAGAACCTGTTGATGGAGGATAAAAATCTAAGTGTAGGAGGAAAGCAGACAACTTCCAGAAGGAGAGCTTAAATGATCACCGTGCACGCCGTCCAGTAGACCTGACTTTGAACTTTCGGAAAGAGGTTAAAAAGAAGGCGAGAGTCAAAGAGACAGATGCCCAGGAAGGACTCCAACCTCGAAGGACTTGGTCCAGATGGGAGGGAGAATGATCCTTGAAGGAAACGGAATGAAGATGAAAAAGGCGGAAAAGAGCCAGCATACGAGCGCAGAGTTGAAAGCACCAACCGGAGGGAAAACCTAGTTTTAACAGCTTTCTGGACAGGGAAGGAACTGGGAATTACTGTAAAAGGATCTCGCTGTACTTACAAAAAGGAATATATGTAATTTATTTAAATATATATATGAAAAAGTTTTTTTCTAGCCTTTCCCAGACTTAAGAATTTTTAGCAGGGACATTTAGAAGTTTTAGAACCCAAGATAATTTTCATTTATTTTACTTATGACTCTGGTTAAAAAGAGCATCTTTAAAAATAAACAGGATGGAGGGGGCGCCTGGGTGACTCAGTCAGTTAAGTGTCTGCCTTCAGCTCAGGTCATGACCCCAGGGTCCTGGGATCGAGTCCCACATCGGGCTCCATGCTCAGCAGGGGATTCTGCTTGACCCTCACCCTCTGCTCCTCCTGCTCGTGCTCTCTCTCTCTTAAATAAATAAATAAAATCTTTAAAAATAAATAAACAGGATGGAACTTATTTTAAAGGATGTATTTAGAGATGGTATGGGACAATGGTTAAGAGGGCCAGTGCCAAGTTGCCTGGGTTTAAATTTCTGGCTATGTGATCATAGGCAGGGTATTTAATCTCTTGTGCCTTGGTTTCCCAATCTGTTAAATGGAAATATTAATAGCATCTGCTTCATCGGATTGCCGTGAGGGTCAGATGAGCTGGGAGACATACAGAGTGATACCTAAGTGTTGACTTTTATAAACACATTTTTATGAACCTCTTACTAACATAAAATGTGGAGCTAAGTGCTCCACGGGCAGGGTATTTCCCACCCTCACAAGATAACACGGGGAAGCAGGGCAGACAGAATTAATGCATATAAAGGTGTAAATGAAAAAAGGGCCACAGCAAGCAATATTCGGAAATCATTACTAATTTTCTTAGATGTGATCATTTTCTAGATGCACAGTAACATATGAAGGAGAATGTCCTGATTCTCAGAAAACACAAACTGATTTATTTGGGGATGAAGGGGCACGATGTCTGTCGTTTACTTTCAAATTACTTTGCAAAGACACAGACCATATATGTAAATGCATACATATAAAGCAAACATGACAAAATGTTAATCACTGGAGGAAAAAAAGGGAAAGAAAGAAATAAAAGAAGGCAGCAAGTGTCCAGTGCTGGCTCAGAATCCAGAACATTCTGTGCACTTGCGACACTTTCCAAACTTGTCTTCACAATGTGGCTGAAATGAGAAGGATCCTGGAGACATAAGCTTTTTAAAGTGCTCTATAAACATTATTTTCTACAACCAGCACCCAAAGAGCAAGTCAGTGGGAGGGGCTGCTTTCAAAATGCCAGCCCAACCTCCGCTCCCACTAAGAGGCTCCAAAACACGGCGATGAATCCTTCAGAACTATAATTAAAGCCCCTTTTTCCTCGTCCATCTTCAGGGAAGGTAAACTTCTGAACAAAAGTCTTTGTGCAAAGACTGCTGGGAAATCCGTCTTCATCCTTGTAAGTCCAGATCATCACTTTTCCTCTCAGCTTTATCCAGACGGCATGGAGGAATGGACAGGCCACCAGATAAAAGAGAAGGTTCCCTAGACAATCCTCCGGATGGCCAGCTTTAAACTGCCATCTCTGGGCTAGAGTGTCTTTATTTGGACTTGGCCCAGACTTCTGCCCCAACCGCCAGACTCACACAGCAACTGCTCAGCTGACATCCTTGCTTGGATGCCTCAAAGGCCCCTCAAACTCAACACGTCCAAAATAGAACACCTCTCCTCTGCATTTCTTCTTCTCCATGAATGGCACAACCAACTGTAGAGTGAGAGACAGCACAAACGTGCCCCACTCTCCCCCCCCTCCATAACCCACCCACCTCAGGCCCCCTCTTTTGACCTCTCAAGCTCCACCCTTCCCCTCCTACCAGTCCACATCTATTTCCTGGACTTCTGCAACAATCCCCAAATTTCTCTCCTTATTCCCAATCTTGTCTCTCTCCAGTCTATATCCATCATGGTTTAATAGTAATCGTTATTAGGAAAACAATAATGATGAAGCAGCTCACGTGGAATGAGCACACCACCAGGCACTGTGCTGAGGACTTTACCTGCGTCATCTTGTTTCATCCCGACCATTAAGTGGGCAGTATCATTTCCCCAATTTACAGACCAGCAAAGTGAGACAGAGGGATGAGCTCACTCGCCCATGACACGGGGCTGGTGAGTAAGTGGCAGGGCCAGGCTCCAGACCAAAGCCCCTGGCTCCCCACTCAGGATGACAGTGAAATGTCCCACCCCGGCCCACAAAGCCCCGTGAAGCCCCGCACACTTCAGCCTTCCCATCACCCACTTTCTTCCTCTTTGTCTTCCCTCATTGGCGATGCCATCAGCTCCGCCCTCCTCCTCCCTGTCCTCACTCAGGGTCTCCCCATGTGGGCAGCAGTCCCAGCTCCCCAAGACTGACCAGCTTCCATCTGTGCATCTTCAAGGCCCCAGTCCTGTTGTCATTACGTACCTATCTGTGTCTGCACCACAGGAGGGGCCATCCCAGCTTTGCTAACCCTTAAGTCCCAGCACCCAGCACAGCGCCTGGAGAATAGGAAGTCCTCGGCCACCTTCATCCACCAGAAAAACAGAGCAAAAGTAAAACTCCCGGGTCCTACTTCAAGAGTCATCCTTTATTACTGGGATGATTTTTTTTAAATACTCAGCTTTCTAAAAAATTTTTTTTATTTATTTGTTTTAGAGAGGAAAGTGGGAGGCAGAGGGAGAGAGAGAATCCCAAGCAGGCTCCACGCTGAGTGCAGAGCCCGACGTGGTGCTCAATATCAGGTCCCTGAGATCATGACCTGAGCCGAAATCAAGAGTCAGACACTTAACTGAGCCACCCAGGCACACCAGTGGTGTGATTTTTGTAAGTCACTACCTCTTTGAGCCTCTGCGGCTTCATTTTAACTTTCTGGTGGCTATCAAAACTAAAAATAAGCAATTTGGAGTTTTCAAAGCTCTTTCACAAAAATCCCATTTGTACCCAGAATGGCCCTATGAAGTCTGCAGTATCACCGCAGCCCACATTTAGGAGGATAAGGTGGGGGGGGGGGAGTGGGGATTAATGATTTGCTGAGGTCAATCAGCTGGTGACCCTGAAGCCCGCCCTTGCCCATTAAGCGCAGCCTACAACCACTTAGGTAGCAACTAATTAACCCCTTAGGTAGCAATGAATTAGTGACGCTGTGAAAATCTGCAAAGTGCTCTATCTGCAAGTGACGCGGGTGCTGCTTGCTCAGCCCTCCACCCTTCCAACATTTCAAAGTTCTCCCATTTGCTTCAGAGGCTCAAGGCGAGAGTCAAAGCTGGGGCTCATCAAGCACATTGAACTCCATTGTCATGGTAACCGCATACATCAGGAACACATGCCAACTTGGGGAAGGGGGTGCAGGGATAAGTAGGCGGGCCACCGCCTCCTGCTAATACCCGCCAGCAGGTGAGCAGAAGCTGGGAGACAGGATTCGCTTCTTTAGTTCGAGTCTTCAAAACATCAAAGAGTAGGAGATGCTACAGAGCGCAGGTGCTGCTCCTGGCAACCCAGAGCCCTCAGGTCACCTGGGAGGTCAGTGCCTTTTAGCAACTGCTCACTGGCCCCCTGCAGCCTCTCAGCCAGGAGCAGCAGAGGATAATGTGGCAGACAGAGATGCTTCCTTACGCTCAGACTCCACACTTAATCTCCGCAGAGGACGTCATTGTACTTAATGTGGTTGTCGGTGTCACTGCCGTGGATCAGCTTACATGCTGGTTTTAAGGGGAAAATACCTCTAATATCAGGTTATTCTTACCACATTAAAGTTTAAAGTAATCACTTCCATAACATTCCTCCACACAGAAATGAGAACTTCCTCTGAGCCCAAAATCATTCCTTGCACACTAGCTTGATAGCTATGATTAGCTGCCTGTTCCTTCAGATCAAACTACTCTAAAAGCAAAGTTTAAAATAAAAGTAGCTCAAAAGATGTGGCTTTCAAGTTTCTAAGATGGTATAAAGTTGATTTAAAAATAAAATCAGGTGAACTTTATGTTGAAATATATTTTATGTGGGACGCCTGGGTGGCTCAGTCAGTTAAGCGTCCGCCTTCGGCTCAGGTCACGATCCCAGGGTCCTAGGATCAAGTCCCACATCAGGCTCCCTGCTCAGCGGGGAATCTGCTTCTCTCTTTCCCTCTGCTCATTCCCCCGGCTTGTGCTCTCTCTCTCTCTCTCTCTATGACAAATAAATAAATAAAATTAAAAAAAAAGATTTTTTTATGTGAACTGGTATCAAAAACAAGTAAAATTTTGGAAAATTTTAACGTGAAATTTAGAAAAAAAAACTTATAGTTAGTCACTGTATTGTATTTATTCAGTTTTCAATGTATAAATAAAAATCACAGAAATTCCTAGATTATGTCTAATATTCAAACATTTTGTAAACAAAATAGGAGGTTCTCTTGTATGGATTTTTTCAGAAATTTAACGCTGATCAAAGTAGTTTATGATTTAAAGTGGAAAACAAAAGGGATTCCCAGGCAATAATATTTACCTTCTGGACACTGGCAGGTGAATCCACTGAGATTAGAAACACACGTTGCTCCATTTCTGCATGGATCTAGGATACAATAATCAATCTTGGATTGGCAAAGCTCTCCAGTATAACCTGAGTAAAACAAGATAGACATTTTATAAAATGTGTCACTTCAAACCCACAGTGCATTGCCCCAGGAATTGATGGGGTCCACTGGTATCCACCCACCAAAAACAACGGCTTTGAGCTGAAGGGCCCCCCCCAGCCACTCCTTGATCTACTTTTGTTTTGCAAGAAGAAAACAATCATTGCAGTTTAGAATCGCAGTTCAAAAATCATTTCCTTTATAAAAGTCTTTATTGCAAGGAAAGACTTTTCTTCAGCATTAGCTCTGCATTTTATTTCAAAATACTAGTCCAAACCTTCAGAAACGGAGGGGTCCCAGCTTCCTTCTGATGTAGGGCAAAACACGATCTACAATGTTCTGCTTGACCTAACAAAGATGGCCACTTTCCCTAGGTCATCCCCATACCTATTTTTTTTTAATGCATTAGGAAAAATGCTAGGTATTAGAAAAAATTTTTTAATGTACATTTTACAGCTAGAAGAACCCTTCTGTGTTAATGCCATGCCCCACCCCCTCATTTTAAAGATAAAGAGATTGAGGCACACATAATATTAAGCACATTAATATATTATTCTTAATTTTATTTGAATCACATCCAAATCAGTAAATTCTCTGTGAAGCAAGATTCCAGTGGTGATTTCCTTGGATAGTAGCATAACCACACATGTGCGGTGAGGAAATAAGGACTCCCACCTATCAGAATGCAACCAAAAAGCTTTAAAAAAAATTCCAAATTCTTTATTAACTTTGAAAACAAAGCCCTCCAGAGAGGCAACTTTGAAAGAATAATATGCCAATATGTTCCTCTTAAAGTAGAAAATAGTTATGAAGGAAAATCTGGAAAATACAAGATGTCGAATAGAAAGAGGAGTTGCTCTTAGTTCTGTGATTTGAGTGACAGAATTCTTAATAATTTGGAGATAATTCTATCAGAAATTTTTATGCACAGATATTTTCTACACAATTATAATCACACTGTAACATTTTATACCTTCCTAGGATGTACATTAAGTACATAAAAACTTGTCTCTCTGAATTATTAGTTTTGAAAGACTGTCATTAGCACTTGAATCTGAGATTTGCAAAAATAAATCAATGATATTAGAAGAGAGATGATCTGCCTGAGCTTCAATTACCTGCCAAACTAGTATGAATTACAGACTTTGAATGTGGAGGCATTTATTTGCAACCCTACTCTTCCCTCCAGGCTTTAAAACAGTCCAGGAAATTCTAGCTTATCAGTGAGTATGATGAGATGAGTAAAATATTTGTATAAACTAAAAATCCAAACACCAGGACAAAAAGCTATTTCAAAATTGCAGAACAGAGGGGCACGTGGGTGGCTCAGTTGGTTGAACATCCGACTCCTGATTTCGGCTCATGTCATGATCTCAGGGTCATGAGATGGAGCCCTGCATCAGGCTCCGCACCCAGCAGGGAGTCTGCTTGAGATTTTCTCTCTTCCTCTCCCTCTCCTCCTCCCCCACTCTCTTTTGCTTTCTAAAATAAATAAATAAATCTTTTTTAAAAAATTGCAGAACAGAATATCTTAATATATTGTTAATATATCTTCAAATAATATATTATCATATTAATATATCATTAATATGATAATATTATGTTAATACACCTTCAAACGACAGCTCTAAATTCAGAATGAGGGAGAGCAAACTGTTTTTAAGAAGATTGCTACAGGGCGCCTGGGTGGCTTAGTCGGTTAAGCATCTACCTTCAGCTCAGGCCATGATCCCAGGGTCCTAAGATCGAGTCCCACATTGGGCTTCCTGCTCCAAGGGGAGTCTGCTTCTCCCTCTGACCCTCCTCCCACTCATTCTCTCAATCTCTCTCTCTCTCAAATAAATAAGTAAAATCTTTAAAAAAAAGTGTTATAAATAACTTTTTGACTAAAAATAGTAGCTAATATTTATAATAGAACACTTCTTTTTTTTCTTCTATACATTAACTCACCCTCACTGCAAACTCTGAGGTCAGTATCATAATCATGTCCATTTTACAAATGAGGAAATTGAGGACTACAAAGTTTACTAATTCTGACAAAGCCACACAGGCAGTCAAACTCCTGAACCCAAACCCTTCAATGTATCATTAAGCCTGAGGCAACGTGCATCATGTCCTCAACAAACATGTATTTAACATGAAGGGAAAATAACAGAAAATGTAGATATAGACTAACACAGAGACAAATGTAAAGTAAACATCATGGTTATTCTTGGGCTAACCAAGTATTGTGTGTGTGTGTGTGTGTGTGTGTGTGTGTGTGTGTGTGTGTGTGTGACCAGCTACAAATGGTGGCTTCCTAGAGGCAGGTGTGTTCATAAGACACAGAGTCATGAATCCTGCCCTCAGAAAAACCCAAAAACCGTGACCAAAGAATCACACAAAAGCATGAAAAATAGCCAGAGGCCAATTAGATATCATCTGTAAGGGGTGCATATGTCTCTACCAGACAGGAAGAACATGAGCAGAATGAGGGATTCCGTGAGCTTCAAAGTTCTTTAGAGAAAATGTTAACATTCACTTTTTTTGAACTTTTTACTTGGGTATTTTAAACATATTTAAATATAGAGAGACTACTATATAACCCTCACATATCTAGCACCTAACTTCAACAATTACTAACATTCTGTCCATTTAATTTCATCTAGTTCCCTCATATTTTTATATTTTCCCTGTTGGGGCATCTTCAAGCAAATTTCATTTCACCCGTCAAGACATCAACATGTATCCCTAACTAAAGGAGTTTTGTTTCATTTTGTTTTTTTTAAATAATACTTTTAATGGCCTCTTTAATGTTTGGTCCCATTTACAAGTTTAATGAAACACTTTAAACTACATTTAGTAACTTCAACAATTTCTTTTTAAGAGCCGCAGTTGCTGGATAACATACAAATCTTCCCATGCATTTAATTCACTATTATCCAACAGATCTAATGAATTAAACCTATAAGCAAAGTGAATCTTAAGTGCTGTTAAGTGCTCCAATATTTACATATGCAAGTTTAGTAATATTTCAACCTAAGAGGCCAATCCACACTTGCAGTGTGTGGGGTGTTTGGGATTGTCATAAATGGTTTGGGGGGTTCCCACCAGTCCTCCAGTGGTGGAGATTCTAAAGCCTCACACTGAGATGATCCAGTACAAGAGAGTTTTGTGAGAGTTTTGTTACTCAAATGCCAGTAGTCCTTTCCAACGAGGAACACAGGTCAGGGACCAGTCACTATATCACCGCTTTTGATTCCTGAGTTTTAAGCTTTCTATTAAAGATTTTTTTAAATATGGAAACATGGAAATAGAAAGAAAAAGACCATGTGTAATTAGCTAGAGCTTTAACATATGTGTATATTAACATGCCTCTGGGTGCAATGTAACTGGAAATGAAAAACAACAAAGGAGTGAGGGAGGAACGAGAGAGGGAGACAGGGAGGCAGGACTGGGATTACGGGATTACGGGATTATGGGATTACAAGCATCCTTAGCTGCAGGTGACCAGTTGGTCAGTTACTGGCAATAACCAGCCTATGGGTCTGCTGAGCTGTAATTCGGGACCTCACGCTTGTCCACACACCTGGCCAGGCATTACTGTTGGCCTCCAGGCAGGTGCTAGTTGGAAGGTCCAGGAGTACCATCATGGACTGCGTTGATCCTACTAGCCAACTGAAGCCAGATCTGGGAGAGGACAGACAGAAGACAAGGAACAACGTGTGTCCTAGAATCGGTTTTAAGGGACCTTTAAACACCACTGCGTCATTTCTTAGGCCCTGAGAGAGCAGAGACTTACCTACAGTTGTCAGACAAATCCTTGATATCAATCTATATATAATACGCTGAACTGCATATCCCAGGCATACACAAATCACCCTTCCTGTGTCTTTCTTTGATATCACAACTGAGGTGTCAAAACTAAATGAGTGAATGGTAGGAACTTAAATTTTATAAGACCGTTAAGGTTTTGCCTGGGTTCTCTCCTCTATCCTGTGGGAGGTTGGTCTCTTCTCTGAGGACAAAAGTAACCACACTGACCCTGGACATTTCCTTATCCTACCAAAGCAACGCCAGACATACAGAGGACCCTGTGGAAAATGTTCGAGTAAAGCGATGATCATGTCAACACAGTGGATAAGAAAGGTGATACGTGGTCATTCTGTGCCTGTTACAGGAGAATCTGCTCTCACACACACGGACTCACAAATGTACATTTCAGGACTTAAAGATCAAGGTCCTAAGCTCCCAAGGGGAATGTTGGCAAGGCACGAAGGAAAGCCCATGTAAAAGCCCATGTAAAGTATGTGGGAAGGGCGTGAATGCCAGACCGACTTCCCTAAAAATCCACAACAGGTTCCCAAAGGGGACAAAGACTATACCTAACTACCAAGGCAAGAATCAGTAACTGTCTCCATTTCTTTCCAGGGAACTAGCGATATGGCCCCTTCTCAGCCAAACCCTAAGCATTCACGGACCCCCTTCCAAATTAGTGTCACAACCAAGTGACGTTTTCATGTTGGTCTGGTTCCAGGCATCATTTCCTCTCACCAGGACTTAAGCCAGGCTCTTCTCAGCCCACCTCCTCAGCCCTACTCCAGCTTTCCTCCAGTCCATCCCATAATCCATGGGGGAGTAGCCAGAGAGAGCTTTGCAAGACATAACTTATAGGTGTCTGGGTGGCTCAGTCAGTTAAGTGTCTGCCTTCGGCTCAGCTCATGATCCCAGGGTCCTGGGGTCAAGTCCCACATCGGGCTCTTGGCTCAATGTGGAGCCTGCTTCTCCCTCTGCCCCTCCCCACGCTTGTGCTCTCTCTTTTTCTCTTTCTCTCTCTGACAAATAAATAAAATCTTTAAAAAAAAAAAACATAACTTATATCCTATTGCTCTTATACTTAAAGCCCTCCACCGGCTTTACAAAGGGCTTGGCACAAAACCCAAACACTTGACTCCGTGACTTAAAGGCACCACATGATCTGGCCCTGCCCCCTGCAGTCCCACCCGCC